CAAAGTCATGGGAATGAGTACCAGGTGCGGGCTAATAGAGCGCGCCGCCCCGCGAGTGCGCGCTGATTGCTCCACCATGCGTGTCTGAAACTGACAGGACCAAAACAACCACCACGTGCAAATGACAATGACAGCGCACAGGTGAGTGGCGGAAAGGAGTCGGAGAAGATACCGGTACTGACAGAATCCCCCCCCCCCTCAGGTATGCCTCCTGGCATCTCCGGAAGACTCACCATGGCACCGATGGAATTGGTCTATGAGAGCGCGGTCCAGTATGTCACGAGCCGGAATCCAGCATCTCTCCTCCGGACCATAACCCTCCCAGTCTACCAGATATTGGTGACCCCTACCCCTCCGCCTCACATCGAGGAGCCGTCGTACTGTGTAGGCGGGCGACCCCTCGATGAGTCTAGGAGGCGGAGGGGCCGAGGTCTGGGGTTGGAAGGGGGAGCGAATGACGGGCTTGATTCTGGATACATGAAACACGGGGTGAACTCTCTTAAGCATGGGGGGTAACTTGAGTCGAACCGTCACCGGGTTAAGCACCTTAGTCACGATGTACAGTCCAATGAATTTAGGTCCCAGTTTATGTGCAGGCAGTTTAAGAGGAATGTTCAGGGTAGACAACCAGACCTTCTGACCGCAAACGTAAAGTGGGGGCAAGAGTGAAAACTCAAAACGCGCCCCTACGGCACAAAAACACATAAGACATACCCACGCCAAAAGAAGACAAAGACATGAATATTTAGGAAGTGGGAACGAGTACCAGGTGTGGGCTAATAGAGCGAGCAGCACCGCAAGTTAGTGCTGATTGCTCCACCACGTGTGGATGAAAATGACAGGACCAAAACAACCACCACGTGCAAATGACAATGACAGCGCACAGGTGATAAACAGCACTGGAAGGGTGATAAACCCGTAGACGAGACCGGAAGGGAGTTATGTGCGTACTCGACCATGGCTAATTTGGAACTCCAAGTCAATGGTTCTGCTGACACCACACAACGCAGGACTCTCTCTAAGTCTTGACTGGCCCGCTCGAACTGACCATTAGTCTGCGGGATGGTAACCAGAGGATAAGCTCACTGTCGCCCCCAGTTGCCGACAGAATTCTGTCCAAAACCTAGATATAAATTGGGGACCCCTGTCAGAGACCACGTCCACCGGGAGGCTATGAATGCGGAAGACGTGTTCTAAGACAATGGCCGCTGTCTCCCTCGCTGAAGGTAATTTGGGGAGGGGAATGAAATGAACCGCCTTCGAGAACCTGTCTACCACCGTGAGGACCACGGTGTTGCCATCAGACGGGGGTAGGCCTGTGACAAAGTCCATAGCAATGTGGGACCAGGGTCTCGAAGGGATAGGCAGCGGTCGGAGAAGCCCTACTGGGGGACGATTAGAGCCCTTACTCACCGCGCACACCGGGCAGGTCAACACGAACTCGCGAGCGTCCCGCGCCACCGATGGCCACCAAAACCATTGCTTAATCAGCGAAATAGTACGAGCAGCTCCCGGGTGGCAAGCTAGTCCAGAAGAATGGCCCCTCCTTACTCACCGCGCACACCGGGCAGGCCAACACGAACTCGCGAGCGTCCCGCGCCACCGACGGCCACCAAAACCGTTGCTTAATCAGCGAAATAGTACGAGCAGCTCCCGGGTGGCAAGCTAGTTCAGAAGAAAGGCCCCACTGAAGGATGCTGGTTCGAACCGACCTGGGCACAAACAACAGACCCTCTGGGCATCCGGCGGGGATGGTGACGCCATCTAGCGCCTCGCGGACTCTGGATTCCACCTCCCAGGTGACCGCCGCAACCACTCGGCTGGGTGGCACGATGGGCGCCGGAGAGGTGGACTCAGAGTTAGCTTCAAACAGCCGCGAGAGCGCGTCGGGTTTACCGTTCTTACTCCCTGGGCGATAGGAGATGCTAAAGTTAAAACGCCCGAAGAATAGAGCCCAGCGGGCCTGTCGAGAATTTAGTCTTTTGGCGGAACGGATGTACTCAAGGTTCTTATGGTCGGTCCAAACCAAAAAAGGAACCCCCGCACCCTCCAGCCAGTGACGCCACTCCTCCAACGCCAACTTAACAACCAGTAACTCCTTATTCCCGATGTCGTAGTTCCGTTCCGAGGGGGTAAGACGATGAGAGAAAAAGGCGCAAGGGTGTATTTTGTCGTCAGCGGGTGATCTCTGGGACAAAATAGCCCCCACTCCCACCTCTGATGCATCCACCTCCACTACGAATTGGCGAGACGGGTCCGGATTCCTAAGGATAGGGGCTGACACAAAGCGGCCCTTTAATTTCTCAAAGGCCTCCTGAGCCGGTTCAGACCAATTGAAACGCCTTAGCGTGGAGGTGAGATTAGTCAGGGGTAGGGCGATCTGGCTAAACCCTCGAATGAACCGCCTGTAGAAATTGGCAAACCCCAGAAATCGCTGAACCGCTTT